AATATAGAAAAACAAATATATTTTAAATATTAAATTCTGCATCTAAATCTATTGTAACACTATCTATACGCCTCTCCAACTCAGCAACCTGAACTCGCAACTGATTCCTCTCTTGAACAACTCGCCAATGCTCCTCATCTCTCCTCCAATTTTCCTCTACCGACTCCGCCTCCCAAAATCGAATTTCTTCCAACTCCGCTTCTAACACAACGATTCATCTCTTCAAGGATCTCATCTCACACAACAACCTAAAAATGGATTAACAACGTTAATATTTCATCTAAAACAATTATAAAAATTGATAAATATTTACCTTCTGTTCTGATCTTGAACGCCGATGAGAGCCTCATTACCACTGTGTCTGGCACGTTGGACAGCACGAGAGATACGAACTCGAGGTATTTTATATTATTATTATTATTATTATTTTATTATTTTATTATTATTATTATTATTATTATTATTGTTATTGTTATTGTTATTGTTGGTGTTGTTGTTGTTGACGAAGAGAGAAAGAAAAGAAAATTTCTTAAAATCAGGAAAATTATATTATGTACGCCTTATTAACTACAATAGACAAAACATGTTTAAAACCTGATGATCTTATTGGTTAGGAATGACAAAACAATTAATTACTAGTTTTTATTATTTTATTAGTATTGTAATTTAAAGCAAAACGAAAAAGGCCAAATTTTAAAACAATATTACAATAGTAATAGACTCAAAAAAAATATTACGAACAGCAAAAATAGAAATCACAAATTATTATTGAAATTTAATAGACAAAAGACTTAGAATTTTATTAGCTTAGAATATTTTTATTAAACTTTTATTTTATTAAATTTTATTAGAATAGTTACATTAAATAATTTTATTAGACTTAGAGATTAAAAACTAAAAATTTTATTGAGGAAAAAGAAAGAAAAATAAAACATAGAACAAAGAAAAACTGGAACAACCACCAACTCTACCAAACTAAAACTCGGACTACCCTTCACCATAAACCTCAACACCTCAACCTCCGACTCAAAATCTCCTATCTCTGTCTCCAAATCCGTCACCCGCACTCGAAGCCTATTTCTTTCTTCTCGCAACCTCACTATCTGCATTTCGTACTGGTAATTAAGCCATGCCAGCTCTGTCAGATCATGCTCCTGGACCTGAGCTTGTAAGTTTGCAACCTGGTTTTGCAAACCCCAAACAATAGACAGAATGAATTGGCTACGAGCGATACGTGGCATCTAATAATAACAAAAAAAGTTAGAAAAATGATGCTTTTTTTAAAATAGATAACTTGAAAGACAGAAGTATAGAAAAAGAGAAAAAGAAAGAGGAAAAGACAAAGGGGAAAGTATCCACCAAGGCCATACAGTCAATCATGCAAGTCATGAAGAAAATCAATCATCCAAGCATAAAGGACTATTAGCTCACTCAGACATGGATAGCTGGCGGTTGCCCCGAAAGAATAAAGCCAATGAAGTTTAGCACACAGCCCGAAAAGTATATTTACTTTTTGGCAGAAGACAAAAGCAAAGACCAGGAAGACAAAAAAAATTCAACAAGAAACTATTACTAAAAGAAAAAGAAGAAAAGAGTATTAGACAAGAAAGTTTTTAGCATAAAGAAACATAGAAAAGGAAATAAAAAGGACTGTACAAGGAAAAAGAAGATTTGTGTGTGGAATTTTGAGAAACAGCACACGCGGAAAAACAAGAATATAAATAAAATTGAAAACAATCAAGATAATTTTTCCAGAACAAAGAAAATTATCGCATGGTAGAAACAAAGAAAATTACAAACAATAATGATGTAATTTACAAATTTAGACAAAGATGAACAAATTAGAAATGGAAGTTCGGTAGACCTCACAGAATTTAAAGGGGGAATAGACAAAGAAAATGCTTAAACACATACTAGACCAAGAATTTTTACCAAGTATGCTAAGCACTGCCAAATAATGCTGAATTGAAATTTTTGCACATGGTTGTTCTAAAAAAGTAAAACCATACAGTAGATAAAGAAAAGCACAAGCAAAAATAGAATTTTTGTATATAACGATAACAAAGAGGATTATTATGAACTTATGATCTTCTGTAAAACAAATATAGTAGTTAAAGTGCAACAAGTTTAGATTTTACGGAGTAAAATCTTAAGGGGAGGAAAATGTTACAAAGCAGATTGTAACACAACGTAACATTGTGTAGATTATAGTTCATTATTTGTATATACAGTATTAGTTATATTTATTTAATATTAGTTATTATTATAGTTATATTTATTAGTATAGTATTAGTTATTATTTTTATTATTGTATTAGTTATAGAAATATTATTGGCTAGTTATATATAGCACAGTAATGCTGCACGAGTGCCTCCAAGTGCCTCTGCATAAGTGCCTCTAAGTGCCTCTGCATGAGTGCCTCTGTACAAGTGCCTCTACACAAGTGCCTTTGAGTGCCTCTTATACGGTTTAGCCGTTACACCTCTTATGTGTAGAAAAGTTATAAAAAGGGAGCCTTTGCCCCTTCTACTCAAATTAGAGTTGGATAGAGTTAATTAGAGAATTCCCTACCCTCTCATAGTATCTAGCCCTACCTTGGCCTTGTATAAAGTGATATACTCCCTCTAGGGTAATTCTAATAGGTGAGATTATTCTCCTTGATCTATAATAAATAAAGTATTAACTCATATACTGTCCCTATGTCAAACCGTTTGCCTCCTGCTAGTGAAAGTAGTGCATATTCCACTTCCACCCAGTGTATACTCCAATAGCAGGATCCCTGCACCGGGTAACCTTGTTACCTTGCTACGTGGTGACCAAAAAGGCCATAGCATTGTAACAATAGTAAAATTGCCCAAGGAAAACTTTTTATTAGAGCATTAAAGGTTGTTTCTTATGCTAGTTTTTGAGAAACAGCCAATTTTTGATAAAGTGAATGTTTGTTTTGAATTTTCCTGATTGTGTAATATTATACCTAATCTTGAAATCTGATTTGTTTATACCACAAAATTGTCATATGACTATAACATTTTGGTAGCAATACTAGGGTGGATGGTTTACAGGCACATACTGAATCACATGATTTTGCACATACTTGTATATTATGTGGTATGTATGTATGTATATATATATTTAACTATACTGATATGCAGAGTAAATAAATTAGCACAAATAAATTGTATTTTATATGGCAATTTATGTAATATTTATATATATATGCCAAAAACCTTGCTTTTCGAACAAGATATTGGTTTTATATAGCAACTATATATGTGAATTGTAGGATATTTTATTTAAAGAATCAAGACTGCAATGTTAATATGTGAGAAACTTCGATTCATTTGATTTACAATTATACTATCACATTCTAAATTTTTCTTTTGTAAATATTTGCACTATTTTCATATTTTTTTCAAACTAAGTTATTCTTTTTAAAAATAAGGTTTTCCATATAATGCAGTTTTTAAAATATATTTTTTTCCAACCATTTACAATAGGCAGAACCAGTACATTTGGCTTGAGTTTTGTAGCTATAAAATGTTGCCTTTTACGAATATAAATGAAGGTAATTGATGTATTTCAATTTAGTGATATATTATCAGGAAGAAATGTGAGAGAAAGATATTTACTGAAATAGTAAACAGGTCGTTGAAAGATGTTGGCAATGATATATCTGAAAGAGGGCATAGATATCTAATAGTCTTTACTACAAGAGCTAGCTTCCTATTGTACTATAAATAATATCTTGTTATATTCTTTTTCTTTTTTTAAAAACAACTGAATATAATGAAACTTGTGAGTGCAAAGTTCTTTATAAATAAGCTTTCTAACTTCTAGCTAGTAGTCTTTAAGTTTTTTAATTGAAATAGCAATAGCATTAAAACCACAATTGTCATCTCCTTTCACATTAATATATGCTGAAAAATGTTCATTTATAAATTTTAGAATATTTGTCTCAAATTGTTTAGAATTCAAAGGTTGAGAAGTATTAAAAATTTGGTTTAAAGGTGTATTTGATTGTTGAATAGTTTGGTTTTTTTTAAATTTTGTTGTACTGTCTAGTATTTTTTTTTTTTGCAGCAATATCTTCATGTTCACTTCGAAGCAATCCTCATTTAGTACCTGACTTTGTCAGTAGCAACTTAGTAGGCTCAGATAATAGCATGTTAATTGCATTGTAAATTTTTGTAATAATTTTTGTTTTAGTAACATCATTTAGCAATTGCTAAAATTTCTTTTCTGTGTCAATAAAACCATTATAAAATTCTGAGTCAATAATAGCAGATTTTGAGGAACATAGAAGCTCTATTATATCTGGCCTCTCAAGAAGCCATTTTTTGTCAATGATTAATAAAAGAATTGGGTCATACATCGTAATCATATGCTTGCAAGGTAATTTAAAATTAATTTTGGTTAAGCATTCACATTCTTCAGCATTTTATACATAGTTAGTTTTTTTTGTAATGTTTTTTTATATAGTTAATTGCCCATGCTGATACATTTTCGATAAGTTTATAAAATATAGGATTACAAAGAGTAAATGGATTAATAGCTACTTTGTTTGAACCCATACGTACTGCTACTTTTAGATGCTATAAATGCATTGCTTGATCAATCTGACGAAATACACTTTCTAAATTACTTGCTGTCTCAATTGATCATTTAAATATATAATGAGATAACTCAGTTTGCCCTGTAGTTGATATTCCAATATGACAAAACCACTTAGTATTAGGGTTGGGTTATGACCAGGTTATATCAGGTTATACCAATAAGTTTAATTAATGAGATCATATAACCTTATTAATTGAACTTATTAATATGACCTATTATAACCTGATTATAACCCAACTCTGCTTAGTATAGACCAATATCTATATTTTTGAATTTTTCATCCATATTTAAATATATGATTTAATTTTTTCAGGAGAGTATGCTTTTTTTGTAGCTTTTTTAATAGCATTCAAAGACTGGATAATTTTTTTTTCTTTTTTTGTAAATCATAATGCTTCAATATCTTTCTTGAATGCCTCATAATCATCATCAGGTTTAAAAAGTTTGTGACAATTAACTTTTAAATTTTGTTTCAGAAGATGCAATATCTTATCAGTTTTCAAAAATGCTTTATCTAAAGCATTTTATAATACCTGATCTTTATTAGATATAAAAACAATTGGTAAGCAACTATAAGCATCATAAATTTTTTTGCAAGAACCATGTATATGATTCCTTACTTTCATCTTCAATCTAGGCCATTGCAATTTAATATGATGCTAATGACTCTCTTTTATTACTAATATTATTAATACCAACCATGCTGACAAGAAGATATTTATAGATATTGGTTTGATATATAGAGTCCACAATAAGAACCTCAGGACACTTAGCAATACATTTAGCTACTTCTATATGTGAAAAAAAAAGTGAGTTAAATATCTTTTTGCTTTAAAAAGTCTTAATAGTGTTTGTATAGAATCATTATTATAACCTTTGTTCAAAGCAAGTCTAATATAAGCATATTTATTAATAATGTCTTTTGAAAGAATCATTTTACTATCTATAGTCCTGTTAACGGCTGCTGTTATAACTTGAGTAGGTGTATTATTATTATGTAACTGTTTTACAAGAATTTTTTGACTTAAGCTTATAGAATGATATTGAGGAAAAGTTGCAACTTCTTCCAATTCAAGCATGGAGTGATTATGTTTAAATTCAGTCTTTGTGACAACCTACATTATTTCAGTATTTTGAATATTTGTAACTAATTGATATTTTGTTGCCATAACTCTAAGAGTATTTCTATTTTCACCCGGGTTAAAGTCATTTGATATTTAATTTTCATATATATTATATAATAAAATCCATATAATATCATTAAAATTAGTTTAACTAATATATAGTATCTTTAGTTTTTATAGTAGCTTATATTATATAATATACTGGCAATTATATATCAGGTGACTTTAACCCAGGTGAAAATAGAATTTCCCTAACTCTAATACATACAGGGCAACTATCACATTTATTATTCTTTTTTTTTTTTTTGAATTTCCTCTGTTATATTCCAACAGTTACACCATTCACTACCTTTCGTGCATTGTAAAACAACAAAAGATGACTTGCCATTATGTCCAGTAAGGTTGCTATCTTTTCTTGAAAAAGCAAACCCTCTATACTTAGCAGCTGATTTAGCAGCATTTTCAAAAGCTTTTAAAGATTTGAACTCATCATTCACCTTTGGCATAATCAGCTCAGTCATTATAGTTCCAAATTAAAACACTGCATGTATGTATTAGATATATAGAAATATGATATGTGCTTATGAACTAATATAGCTATATATAGTTCAACTGACAAGTAAGTATGCTAATTTATATAGTAAAAAATGTAATATCAAATGTTTTATTATTAATTGATAATCCACGAATCAATCAGAGAAAATGATTTATATTTACTAAGTAATTTTGATGCAAATTAATTAATTTTTTTTTTTTTTTTTTTTTGGTATTAAGGTGAGGCCTTGCTTGTATCTTTATTGATTAATTTATATAAGTAATTACATATCAACTATATAAAGACTTAATTTGTATAATAACAAATAAATATAAATTATATGCAAGAATAAAAGCTCAGACTAAAAGTTTAACCTAAAAGCTAAACTAATTATTTGTGACCTAAACCTACTAGAGTGGTCATGGCTCACCTAGGTTTGAATTGTTAGAATTTGGTTAATAGGTGTATTATATTTGATCCACGTAGTGGACCATGTATTGATTTTAAGGGTAGCTTGTCCTAGAGGAGGACAAGTATTAGTTTCAAAATGTAGTTGGTTAGCAGAACCACAAGGACAACTGTAAGTATAATTAGTTTTGTTTCTTCTGTTGATTGAGTATAGAGAAGATTGTGATGGACGCAAATTAATTAATGAAAATCCCAATTTGTAAATGTGAAGTTTTTTTTTATATCGGGTATATATATATATGTTGTGCCTCAGATCGATTCTTGTGTCAGATGAAACCCGGCCTAAGTTAGGTTAGGGTTAGGATAAAATTTCAGTAAAGTTAGGAGTTTTTTTAGGCCAATTATTGCTGATCATTTAATGCTGGTCAACTGATAGTTATCTGACGTGCGTCAGATACAATCTGACGCAAAAATCGATCTGACGCACAACATATATATATATAAATATACATATATGAAATACGTATATACGTACGTATATACCTCAAACTTTAAATTAATGAGTTTTGAATAAAACAATAAAAGTCTTGTTACTATTTAGTCTTATCAGCTCACCAACCACTTAAAAACAAACTAAGCCCGCCTATTAATTAAGATCTAGTATGTCTAAAATTTAATTTATCTTTTAAAAACCAAACTTACTGCCTGTTTATAACTTGCCTGCCCAACAGTTTTACTAAATTCAAAAACTATTTTCCTGAAGACATAATACCAACTAAATTAGCTAGCATTATAACTAATGCCTTCAAACTTTGTTGGTATTAGATCTTTCTAGGAATTTGTCTTTTAGAATTTCATAGTAAAACCTGACCCAACCTATTCATAGTCCTACTTATTTATATATTAGAACCAGTTACATAAATTAGAACTAGTTTAGCTTAATCTAACTTAATTTACTCACCATATATATAGTTTAAAACCTATAATTAAATGTATATTATAGTTGATTTGAAATTTTAAGATTAGGTTGAGATTTTTAGTATAATTATTCTAATATATATACTGTAATTGAAAAAAAAATAAAATAAATAAATTTCAAATTTTAAAATTAATAGTTTATAATTAAGAAACAATTTTTTATTTATTTTCTTTATTTTCATATACTTCAATGAATACAATATTATATAATTCAATATATAATTAAACTTGGTCCTTAATTAAAAAAAGAATCTTAATTTTATCTCTAATCAAAGCATCAACCTTATATAATCCTTTCATTAGTTGAAATCAACGAATCAAAAAAAAAATAAATCAAGATCACAAAGCAAGATCATAATTACTTATTTACCATTGCGCCTTTCAAAATCGGGTTATTCGCATTAATCACTACAAGGGTGAAAATCATTATTAATCAATGGAATTAAAATTAGCAAACTAATCAAGAACATAAATACTTACAGTATTTACCATTTCACAATGCTTCCAAATAATTTCCACAAGCAAATCGGGCTCCAACCAGCATAACATAACCCTGATATGAACCTTATATTTGGCGCAAATAGGAGACCTTTAGAATAATAATCGGGTTCATATAGGCGTTAGCTCAATTGGTAAATCGATAAAGCTATTAGGCAAGCTTTATCGATTTACCAATTGAGCTAACGCCTATATGAACCCGATTAGTGTTCTAAAGGTCTCCTATTTCTGCCAAATATCTGTTTCAAATAAGGTTC